CCCCAAAACCCCAAAACCCCAAAACCCCAAAACCCCTAATATCTGAAAAGATATTGAGGAAGATATATTAATCAACCCTCACAAATGTTTCTCTTGACCTAACAGCATCTTTAAACCATGATGCCATTTCATCAGGAGTTACTTGACTAATCTGAGTAGAGTAATCATCAATATTTATATTTCTTTCTTTGAAGAACCTGCTTGCAATCATGTCATTCTTTGTATCGATATTTGACATTTGAAGTTCTCATTCCTCCTTCGCCTTCTCTTTTGCAGCCTCAAGCACGTCTCCAGGGACCCATTCTGTGAACTCGCTCCATGAATCTTTCATTTCTCGTTCCACTGCTCCGGAGATGGGTGAAGTCCCTTCCACTCTGAGGCCGGCCAGACTCACTTCTCTGAAGACCCTCGTGAACCTGTGGAAGTTGGTCTCCAAGCGATGGCTCACTAAGTGCGGGAATATTCTCAGACAGGGCGAGTCTTCTGCTTGGAATCAGTGTTCGATCCTTTTGTGTTTGTCTTCGGTGATGATCCTTCAATTGCCTCCTTTGTATTGAATTGAAGACTGATGGTAGAACAGAGGGTCTGCTGGGTTAAGACCTTCAAACGCTTCTTTAAACTGGCTAGCCTCTTGATGTTCGAAACTATGAGTTACATTGAGAACTTACGAGTTAAGTATGAGGAGCATTCTATCAGCACCTACAGCTGCTTGTAACATGAGAGCTGCTTCTCTCCAATGAGTAAATCGTCCTTGAGCATCGAAGTTCTTATCTAAGCCTGTGATTGGCATTCCATAGCCTTCGAGACCAAAAGCAGTCATCATAACTAAGTCACGAGGTATCTGAGCTCTTAAGTTGACCGCCCCTCGAAGAGATGGAGGATTGGTAAGTTTGTCTAGAACTTGCTTGACCCAATCAACTGGATTTTCTAAAGATCCCTTCGGACTGATTTTAACAAAATCGTGGCTGACATTGATTGCTGTGTTTTGATCTTCTGACATCAAAGCCCAGCTGTGTAGAGTCCCTGAAGTTGCAAATGACTCGTGTTTGGTTCCCAGGTCAACATACAATGATGCCTGCTTGGGGCCTCCTTCAGTCCTGTAAATGGAGGCTACGTTGGTCAGTGTGATGAAGTTACTCCTGCTGAAAAAAAGTTTCATTTTATATTTATAATTGAGGGGTTTTGGGGTTTTGGGGTTTTGGGGTTTTGGGGTTTTGGGG